CTGTGTCCTCAGCAAACCCACTGAGAAGCCCTGTTATGTGAGCCATGTATGGGGAAGACTTGCCAGTTGGTACCATTTACACATGACAAGACCTGTTGTTCAGCCACACCCTGAAAGAAGCCATTCTGGAGAGGCATCCGGAGTATGCATGTGCCCCCTGGAACTGGTGGAGCAGACAAGGACTGCCCCCAGAATAGGTGGGTAACCCACAAACATTATCTTCATGTTGATGCCACTTCTGTATTTCCTAACTAGCTATGAAATGGTGGTGGTGGTGCACACCTTTAATCCCAGCATTTGGGAGCCAAAGGTGGGCAGACGACTGTGAGTTCGAGGCCAGCCTGGTCTACAAGAGCTAGTTCCAGGACAGGCTCCAAAGCTATAGAGAAACCCTATCTCAAGAAAAAAGAAAAAGAAAGAAAGGAGGAAAAGAGGAAAAGAGCAGGTGGTAGGTAAAGACGGCTGAAGAATCTGCCTGCTCAAGCTAGCAGCTGGAGAAGCACCCCCAGGGTGCAGTGCAAACAGTTTCCTTGCTGCAAGCCTCAGGCAAATAAATGGTTTGTTTCTGAACCTTGGCTTTCTCCTCTGTGAAAACGAAGAGGGAAGATTTGGGTCAATGGAGGGCAGTATTAAAAAATACTGACTGCTCTTCCCGAGGTCCTGAGTTCAATTCCCAGTAACCACATAAGGGCTCACAACCATATATAATGTATTTCGGTGCCCTCTTCTGGCATGCAGTGCAGGCAAAACACTGTATACATTAAAAAAAAAAAAAGCAACTGGATGTAGCAACACAAGTCTTTAAACCCGGTGCTTGGGAGGCAGAGGTAGGCATATCTCTGTGGTCAGCTTGGTCTATATAATGAGTTCCGGCCCCAAGCAGAGCTACATGGTGAGACTCCACATAAACAATAAGTAGATAAATGAATGGATGGATGGCGCTCTAACAGAATCCAAATAAAGTCCAGGTAGACTCACTGCCAGGCATGAGTTAGGTGCTGCACAGTAAGCAGCTTTATGACTCTGCTTCAAGGGAGAAAACTGAGGGACACAGAAGAGGTAGTGTGGCCTGGAGCACAGTACAGAACCAGGACTGAGTCTCACAACCACTTCCCTACAGTCTGCCAGGCTTGAAGGGCTGGTATAACCCACCAGTAGGAAACGGAGACAGGCAGGGTCTCAGCACTGTAAGCTGGATCAAGGATGCCGATTGCTCATCAGCATCCATTCCCATTCTCACCCAAGCCTGTCATCAGTCATTACCAAAGCCCATGCTACATGAGCCTTTACACCTGAAGTGCGGTAACTTTAGAGGAAATACGATGGCACTGCTAGTTTCTGCTGGGCTTGGCCATCATTTAGACACACACACACACCTTCCCTATTGTCGTCCCCACCTTGGTTGGAAGATAAAGAGCTGAGCTGGGAGGACTTGACATTTCCTATGAGTGGGTGAGATTCAGTTTGCTTCTTATGGCCTTCGTTAGACCAGGCCCCATTTGGACTTTAGGCCACACCACCAGGGAAATGGAGGCATGAGGGCGCTTACTTTTAATCCCAGCACACAGGAGGAAGAGTTACAGGCCAGCCCGGTCTACAGAGTGAGTTCAGGATAGCAGAGCTGCTACACAGAGAAACCCTGTCTCAAAACAAAACAAAGAACTAGGTTTGAAGATGCATGCTTAGAATCTCCACCTCTGCAGTTCAAGGATAGTTTTAAGTCCTTTCTCTATGGCTTTGGAGCCTATCCTGAAACTAACTCTTGTAGACCAGGCTGGCTTCAAATTCAGATATCTGACTGCCTCTGCTTCCCGAGTGCTGGGATTAAAGGTGTGTGTCACCACCGCCCGGCTGAGGCCCTATTTTAAGAAGAAAAAACTTAGCCAGGTGTTGGTGGTGCATGCCTTTAATCCCAGCACTCTGGAGGCAGAGGCAGATGCGAGGTCTACAGAATGAGTTCCGGGACAATCAAGGCTACAGAGAAATCCTGTCTTGAAAAACAAAAATTGAGATACCTTGACTTTTTTGTTTCTTTTTTTTTTGTTTTGTTTTGTTTGAACTCACAGAAATCCACTGCCTCTGCTTTCCAAGGGCATGTGCCACCACCACCTGACTATCCTGACATTTTTGACATCTGTATGAACAGTAATAGTTTGGTTTTTTTTTTTTTTCGAGACAGGGTTTCTCTGTAGCTTTGGAGCCTGTCCCAGAACTAGCTCTTGTAGACCAGGCTGGTCTCGAACTCACAGAGATCCGCCTGCCTCTGCCTCCCAAGTGCTGGGATTAAAGGCGTAGGCCATCACAGCCCAGCTAGTAATAGTTGTTTTTAACCTTAAAACAATGCAGAGTTTAAGCGGAGCACACAGACATGCCATTGGAGTGTCAACACAGATTTGGCTTTAATCTGGGTTCTCAGGGGGGCCATAGGGTAGAGATACAGCTTGTCTGCATCCCAGTGTAGGATGGGATCATCTACACCTTGGTGGCCACAGGTGGGTGGGGGAAGCCAGGAGACCTGGGCAGAGTGGGACAGTCCCAGAACAGCGGCTCTGTTGACAGATGAGCCTTTGTGGGTCAGACTATGGGAGGCAGAAGACTGGGAAGACCAAGGCAGTGCTGTGAGGGGACCTGCTATCAAGGCTCCAGTGCCATCGTCTCAGGATCCTTGCAGGTATGGCAGTGCATACCTGTGACGCTAACACTTAAGAGGCCAGACTTGACTGCATAGCATGTTTGAGGCCAGTGTGGGGGCTACTGAGACAGTTTAGAGCGGGGGGGGGGGGGGATATCAGATGTGTTGATACCTTTAATCCCAGAACTCCAGCACTCAAAAGACAGACACAAGCAGGTCTATATAGCAAGGTCTAGAGCAGTTGGGGCTGCAAAGTGAGATCTTGTCTCACAAACAGAACAACCTGCAGTTGTCCGCTGTACTTAAGACACACCTGAGCCGGATGGTAGTGGCGCACGCCTTTAATCCCAGCACTCGGGAGGCAGAGGCAGGTGGATCTCTGTGAGTTCGAGGCCAGCCTGGTCTACAAGAGCTAGTTCCAGGACAGGCTCCAAAGCTACAGAGAAACCCTGTCTCGAAAAAACTAAAAATAAATAAATAAATAAATAAAAATAAATGCAGGCAAATAACATATACATAAAATAAAAATTTAAAAGAGGTGTTGAAGCCGGGCGGTGGTGGCGCACGCCTTTAATCCCAGCACTCGGGAGGCAGAGACAGGCGGATCTCTGTGAGTTCGAGGCCAGCCTGGTCTACAAGAGCTAGTTCCAGGACAGGAACTAAAAGCTACGGAGAAACCCTGTCTTGAAAATAAAACAAACAAACAAATAAATAAATAAATAAATAAAAAGACACACCTATCCCACCCTTTTGCCAATGAAATCTGTCCACTAAACCTCAATAGTTCATGCAGGGAGGGGTGCTGTGCAGAACCCAGATGCCCAAGGTCCTGTAGGGGCAAGTTCTCTGAGCTAGGCCTCCTGTGATACCCAGTGGGCATACTCAGCTCCTCTTGGATGGAGCTGTGTAATGCCAGGAGGGCTCAGAAACATTATGCTGTATAATTTTTTGTGCCGTATAATTTTATTTCATTACTCTAAGGGCAAGGTCAGTAGGTGACCATAGGTGAGGTCTTTTACAGATTCTCTGGATGTAATTCTCACAACCAGCCAGTGGGGAGAGGCTGAGTTTTAAGGGGCTTCCCAGGAAGCTCTCCCCTGGAAACACCTTTGTTCTAGGGCTCACCTTCCTGGTTGGCTGGCTCCCAAGCCTTCACTGTGCTGCAGGGTAGACCTGGTTGAATCTTGTGGTATACCTGTTCCTCCTGAAACAACCACTGAGCTAGTCCCAACTCCATTACATATTATGGTTATATTGGGTTGACCAGTGTAATCATAAAAAATATTTTTTGAGGCAGGATCTAAATTCCCCAGGTTGGCCACTTAGCTATCTTACAGCAGAGACCTCATCTCTCAAGGCAATCCAGCTGGTAAGCCGAGTTGACAAACTCCCCACACAATTGCTTGGGAGTTTCAGATGTTGTACGCCAGCAGCTGGCAGCCAAGGAGGGGGTCCCCAGGAATCAGAAGAAACTAGAATAAACATATCCAGTTCAGGACTGAATGATTATATCATGGTATATGGAAACAAAACTAACTCCACATACAATTCAATTTAAAAGCCGTTAACTGCTGCATATGGTAGCCCATGCCCTTAATCTCAGCAGTCAGGAGGAAGAAGCTGGAGGATATCTGAGTGATCTCCAGGCCAGCCGGGGATAGTTGTTGTTTTGTTTGGTTTGGTTTTGAGACCCTGTTCCCCCAAAACAAACAAACAAATAAAGCCATTAACTTATTTAATATTTATTTATTTATTATGTATACAATATTCTGCCTCGATGTATGCCTGCACGCCAGAGGAGGGCACCAGATCTCAGTACAGATGGCTGTGAGCCACCATGTGGCTGCTGGGAATTGAACCCAGGATCTCTGGAAGAGCAGCCAGTGCTCCCAACCTCTGGGCCATCTCTCCAGCCCCATTAACTTATTTTTAAAAAGCTTTTTTCCCAAAAATTAATATAGGTCAATTTGTCTAACTGCAGCCTCCAAATTAAAGGTTAAGTGTGTCCCATTATCTCAGATAGAAACCTCCATCCTCATTTGGAGTACTGTTATCTAAGACTGTTAGTGAGGGGGTAATCACATGATTACCTCCTCTGAACGCTTGCCCACCCCATGGGCCTATTGCCCCCACAATATCCCGGGAGCTTAAGGGGGTGTAACAGAGGCCATACTGGGTCTTCCTCACCCAACACTGTCTCCCACCGGGATCGTCTGGAACAGCCACCTAGGCCTTATCCGCCCTAGGGCGACGCTTACAGTGTTGCTTTGGGAACAGCAAGGGCTGTGCACTGGCTGTTACCTAGGCGACACACGGAGCGACGATACCTTCTGGAGCTGAGCGCCAGCTCTAATTGGTCAGGACACCTCACCAGCCAATAGAAACCAGGTCCGCTGTGCACATGCGCAAGGAGGTTATCCCGCAGTCCGGTCCGCAGTGGGTGAGTCCTTCGGTTGGGGTGCAAAGGCAGAACCGTTGCCAAATCAAAAGAGGGTACCCCCGGAACTCTGCGGCGGCACCGCGGGCTCAAGGACAGAAACGAAACGTCTCGCGCGTGAGAGGCCTTGGAAACGCGCTGTCGTCCTTGCTGAGGCTCACGGGAGACGTAGTCCGAGCGGAGGGGGCCGTGCCTGTGGAGCAGGCGCAGGATTGGCCAGACCGGTAGGGTAACGAGCAAGGAGGGGCGTTCTGTGAGTGGCGGTGGGACGCGCGGTGTCACTTCCCGGAAGTGCCCTGAGCTCCTGGTGCGCCCGGAGACGTTAGAGGTGTGTGCACTCCTGGTCGGGAAGGCGCAGCTTCTCATGGCATCCCGAGCTCCAGGAGCGCCCCCCAGCCTTCGAACACAAAACACCGGGACCCTCCCTTTCCGACATCCCCAACTCTAAAGTTCTCCTGGACAGGACAGGTGCCCCAGGAGAGCCGGTTTCAATCCAGAACCTCTTAAGGACTGGGACGCAGGTTCCAGTTTGTGACTCCACACAATACAGGGCTGTTTGGTTTGTCTTTTGCTTGGGAATTTCACGGACAACGTGAGGCATCCACAGTTAGGCTGTGATCAGCGAGCAGTGTCACCATGCCTATATAGGCCCCTGAGAGTGCACCCAGGCTTTCAGCTCTGTCCCAGGTGATGTATTTGGACCTCAGAGCCAACTCTTCTGCCTGAAGCCTCAGGTTACCCTGGATGACGGTCCTATCTGTGTCCTCCTGATGGTTTGTCTGCTGGGGGAGCCACCTTCATGTTCCAGTAGTCCTCTGTTGTACCCAAATGTTTGAGCCGGCCATTTGCAGTGTCCTAGAATGGACACCTTCCACCCAGGCATTTACATCAAGGCATCCCCCAGGTCTCCACTGCTATAAGCTCGCACCTCCCATGACCTTCCTTGAAGCACTCCTGGCCTCAGGGTTCTCTTTTCTGGCTTCCTGGAAGGGTCTGGTGTGTGTCTTTGGCCTTAGATGACACTCTCATTCCTCCTTTTCTGTAGGTCCCTCTTGTCAGCTCCCAAAGACCCTTCAAAACAAGAATGTCATCTCCTCTGGGTCCCTCACACGTATCCCTCAGGGACTCCAACACCACCATTGAGGAACCTGAGGCTGCACGACTCCGATTCCGGGGTTTCTGCTATGAGGAGGTAGAGGGGCCCCGAGAGGCGCTGTCCCGGCTTCGAGAGTTCTGTCACCAGTGGCTGCACCCTGAGTCATGCTCTAAAGAGCAGATGATTGAGCTGCTGGTTTTGGAGCAGTTCCTTGGTGTGTTGCCCTCTGAGATCCAGGCCTGGGTGCGAGGGCAGCAGCCAAGAAGCCCTGAGGAGGCTGCAGCCCTGGTTGAGGAGCTGCAGCATGATCCTGGGCAGCTGCTGAGCTGGGTGAGTGTAATGACGTCAGCTTCTTAGCGGGATAGATTGGAGGTAGAACCCCTGTGACATGCTTCTCTTCAGATCACAGCCCACATCCTGAAGCCAAAGGTGCTTCTTACAGTCCAGAAGACAAAGGAGTCTTCAGAGAGCCACCACCTCTCAGTAGCAACAGAGTCCTCTGAGGCAGGCCCTGCAGGGGCGGCACAGGATGTGGGGTTAGACAGAGCTACCCAGATCAATTGCGGTGTGAAGGAGGAAGCCAATGCTGATGGACATGAGATGGGTGAGAGGATGCAGCATCAAAATTTCAAATCCCTGGGTGTGTGTGTTGCGGGGCGGGATAGCCTAAGAGAGGTTGTGTCAGGGTTGAGACTCCTGAAATAAGTCTGGATGTCCCCAGCTGCTATGGGGACCCTGGAGAAACTATATAGCTGGATTCCTATGGAGCAACGAGACAAGGCTGACCTCCCACTATGTCACGTGACAGAGGCAGGCCAAGGCCAATGCAGCTTGACACTCTTTCCCATCTTCCTATCTTTCTCAGTATCCCCAAGCCCTCTCCTTCCAGCCCAGAAGCCTGAGGGACATCTTGGACACCAGGAACCAGCCTCCACAGCCTTCCATCCAGGAAGGATCCAGGTAAGCAGCCTCCAGCAGGAAAATCAGGCCATGGCTGTGGGAGGGGAAGTGTATTATGGTTGTGTTCTGCCCTGTGGTTTTGTAGGCTCCTCTGCCAGTGACTCCTGTGTCTTGTTTTGTTTTACTACTTCAGGTCTTGAGAGCTGAAGACTAGACTGGTAGTCTCTCATTGGAAAAGATTTAGGCCTGAGGTTCATGCCTGGTCCGGCGTGGCCAGAACTGGTGGGCATGGCTTACTTGCCTCCAGAGAAGCCAGTTACTGGAGAGGCTTGCAATACCCAGGGGCCATGGGCCAGCTGTTGTGTATGCAGCTGGAAGGGAGACTGCCACTGCAGGATTCCTGTATTCCTGGGAGCAGATCAGACATTCTCCCTGAGCATGCCTCAAGTCCCTTCTACTGTTCTCAAAGTTCAGTGACCTGGAACCTTAGTGTAAAGCCCCTCACCTGAGTGTGCATAGTTAATGTGGAGTGGGAGTAGGGATCTTGGCCTCTCCAGGTTCTTTCTGTTCCTGAGCCCCTCCACTTGGGTGGGAGCGCCCTTCCTCAATAGGATATCTAGTTAAGTTATGCTTCAAGATTAAGAAACCCCAGCCGGGCGATGGTGGCACACGCCTTTAATCCCAGCACTCGGGAGGCAGAGGCAAGCGATCTCTGGGAGTTCGAGACCAGCCTGGTCTACAGAGCTAGTTCCAGGACAGGTTCCAAAGCCACAGAGAAACCCTGCCTCGAAAAACAAAACAAAACAAAACAAAAAAAAGATTAAGAAACTTAAGAAACCCCTCTAGGATCCCTCTCTGGTGTTCTCACTTCCAGCCAGCATCACCTATAGATGTACCTGTCTGTGGCATCCACTTCCTTTTCCTCCAGATTTGCTTTGGGGTTATTTTTTCCAACATACCAAAGACCTACATGGCAGATCTTAGGGCAGGGAAGAAGGTAGATCTTTTAGGCAAGGAATTCTTTGCTTGGGAAGGCTATTATAGGTAAGCCCCCGTCGTGCCACCAAATTCACCCTCTTCAGACCTTGCCTAAACCAGCTGGCACAAAACTCCCGAGCCTTCTCTATCATGGTTGCCTCCTCAGGTCTTCAGGGCCCTGAAATTCCTCATTATCTTAACCTTGGTGTTATCCTGCCCTAACCTTTTTGCTTTTGTTTTGTTACATTTGTTTTGAGACAGCATCTCTCTACACAGCTCAGACTGTCCTAGAACTAGCCATGTAGACCAGACTGGCCTCAAACTCACAGAAATATGCCTGCCTCTGCCTCTGAGCACAGGGATCAAAGGTGTTCCTTGCCATGCCTGGCTCCTTCACCCTCTTTCTAAATAAAATAAAATAAAACAAAACAAAACAAATAAAGGTTTTTGGGAATGTAGCTCAGCTGGTAGAGTACCTGCCTAGCATGCACAAGGTCCTAGGCTGTATCCCCAGCACTGCATAAACTGGGGATGGTACTGCTCACCCATAATCCCAGAGCTCAGGAGGTAGAGACAGGAAAGTCAGAAGTTTAAAGTCATCCTCAGCTACAGAGTGAGTTTGAGGCCAACCTGGGCTACTCAGACCCGGTCTCACATGTACACACCCCAGTAAAGGCCAAAAGAAGAAATTTCTCACCCCAAGGAAGTTTCAGTTTTGTTAACCAGTCTTGACAGGAAGTGACTGAATCCTGGTAGTCGCCTGGCCTCTTACTCTCCTGCCAGCACATCCTGCACACAGTTTAGTGACCTGTTGAAAACCCACCCACAATGTCTGGCCATCACTGAGACAGGCCACTGAGAGGACAGTTGACAGATGAAAGCTGACCCAGTATTCACAAATGCCAGTCTGACTTGGTCCTTAGCCTGCTGCAGTTGGAGATTAGGTAGCCTGTCACCCACTGAGTGATGGATAGGATGTAAGGCTGGGAGGGAGAGGCAGTGACTGGTTACATCCTTGCAGAAGGAGTGGGACCTGTTGGACTCATCACAAAAAGAGCTGTACTGGGGTGTGATGCTGGAGAAGTACGGCACAGTGGTGTCCCAGGGTGAGGTTCAATGGCTCTTTGCCCTGTCTTCCCTGCCCCATCCTCCACGTTCCTCCCTGCATGCGCTAGGCCCCCACTGGGGCTCCAGGGTGCAGTGACCCAGCATCTGGTTGCATCTCTCCTACCAGGAGGTACCCACCCCCATTCTTCTGTGCAAGTCCCCGTGTGACCAAGCCCCCAAATGAACGTTTTCCCCACCCCAGCAAGCCTGCCGTTGTTAGAGCCAGATGTGCATGTTGAGTCTGAGCTGAGGCCAGCTCATGCCGCAGGACCGGAGTCCCTCAGGAGACATCTCCCAGAAGTGGGAGCCATTGCAGGTCCAGGGCTTGTTCAAGCCTGCACATCCTCTCCAAATGATGAGACCCAGAGCCCTTGCAAGGACCCTTCAGCCTTATCTCCGTCACCACTGCTGGAAGCCCCTGCTAGGCCTGCACCTCGGAAGCTGTATACTTGTGAGCAGTGTGGCCTCAGCTTCGATTGGAAGTCTGTTTTCATCATCCACCATCGCACACACCTGGGCGGGTCAGGCCTGGGAAGGCCGCCACAGGTGCACCGGGAGCCAGCCGTTGGGCACTCCACTGGCCTTCGGGGCTATGCATGCGTGGAGTGCGGGCGCAGCTTCAACTGGAAGTCACAGCTGGTCATCCACCGCAAGAGTCATGCAGGCCGGGCTGGAGAGATGGCTCAGAGGTTAAGAGCATTGCCTGCTCTTCCAAAGGTCCTGAGTTCAATTCCCAGCAACCACATGGTGGCTCACAACCATCTGTAATGAGGTCTGGTGCCCTCTGCTGGCCTGCAGGCATACACACAGACAGAATATTGTATACATGATACATAAATAAATATTTAAAAAAAAAAGAGTCATGCAGGCCAGCGGCGCCACTTCTGCCGGGACTGTGGGTGCAGTTTTGACTGGAAGTTTCAGCTGATCATTCATAGGAAGATCCATCAGCCCTCCAGCCAAGAGGAGGGCTCTGGGGCACCCCAAGTGAGTCAGGAACCCCAAGAAGATCCCCTGTCCAACGCCAGACCACCCAGTATGAGAAGAGGCTGTTCACTTTCTGTCCCTGCTTTATGGAGCCAGCCAGGTCAGACGGTACTAATCCACGGCTGGGGTCCTGGGGTCCGGCTTCGGCAAGGGAAGAGAGCTCCCTGCTTCGTAATTCTCAGAAATTGCCTTAGGTTCCTTCTTGCAGTGACCAGGAGAAAGAAGTCTCCGCGGAAGGTACAGAAAACCACAGCTGCCTTTTCATCCTCTTGCATGTGACTCTCAACTAACGTGCCAGGTTTTTAATGTAAGTTATGTCTAGAACTAGAATTTCTGAGGAAGAATTCTTTTTTTTTTTTTTTTTTTTTTTTTTGGTTTTTCGAGACAGGGTTTCTCTGTGGCTTTGGAGCCTGTCCTGGAACTAGCTCTGTAGACCAGGCTGGTCTCGAACTCCCAGAGATCGCCTGCCTCTGCCTCCCGAGTGCTTGGATTAAAGGCTTTGAGGAAGAATTCTAACTTCCAGCTTCCACTGATCAAAAGAACAGCCTTGTGTGTGGCTGACGAGCCACGGGAACCACAGAGCAGCTGAGCCAGACACTTCAATTAGCCACTTCGCTCCAGCCTGCCTAGTTGCCTGACCCCACGCACTGCTCGCCACCTCCCTGGTCTTTGAATTCCTGAACCTGGACTTGGATGAACAATAAGGGACTTTCCTTGGGGAATGTGAGAGAACGTGAGTAGCTTCTGAGAAGTTAGACAACACATGGTTGCTTCAGGCCATGCATGACCCCTACACCCCACACGACCTGTCAGTTCATCATTAAACTGGAGGGCAAAGAGCAGCTCCCTGCTGCCCAGAGAACTGTGACCCTCCGGACAGTCACTCATGATTTGTCCATGCATGGTGTCCTATTAACTATGTCTGTAAACTAGGTGGCTCGAAACATTTATTTGCTAATTTTTCAGCATCAAAACTCTGAAATAGATCTCACTAGAGCAAAGGTGTTAGTAGGGTGGCAGGCTCCCCCTGGGAGGTGCAGAGGTCACCTGAGGCCCTTGACTTATGGTTTCTTCTTCCATCTTCAGCAGTGGGCAGTTCTTTTCCTCGTTGGATCATTGATTTCCACTTGCAGGACATGGGGGGGGGCTTATATATTCCAGGGTGATCACCATCTTTAGGTCAGATGGTGAGGCAGGAGATTTTATTTTGTTTGAGACAGGGCCACCTTGTGTAGTAGAGGCTGGTCTCTAACTGGTGATCCTCCTGTCTCAGCTTCCTGGGTGCTGGAACTATAGGCTTGTACCACCAAACCCAGGTTGGTACTTTTAAATTCTCTGTATGTGTGTTTGAGATAGTGCTGGGAATAAAGATGTGTGCCACCACCACCCATCATTGGTGGCATCTTAATTACAGATGTGTGCACCACTACACCTGACCCTCTTTTTGTTGTTGTTTTGTTGTTTGGAGGTTTTTTTCTTGGCAAGAATTCATGTAGCCCAGATCCTCGCCTGCCTACTACACCTTCTGAATGGTGAGATTACAGGTGTGTGCCACCACGCCACCCAGCTCACACCTAGCCCTCTACACTTACCAGGTGGCCGCTGCTGTAATAACCACTCATCTTTTCCTTGGGCTAAGCTGGGCAAAGACCAGGGAGAAGGTGTCTTTCTGCACTATTCCAGCTACTGTGAGTTTCCACAGAGTCTTTCTGTAATCTTAAACAGTCCTCATGATAGCCTCACCTTTTTCTTCCTCCACACTACCCTGTTTAAACCTTCTGGAGTTCAGATACCTCCCCACCCTCAGTTGCCTAGCTGACCCAATGATTGATAGAGCTGGGATGTGTCCTGGGCTTGTCTGACTGGAAATATCCCTGGGAGTGATGAGATGGATAACGTTAAAGCCAACTATTATGGGGAATGTAAATAAGAGAAACTGGAAGAGAGGAGAGCCTCAAACATCAGTCAGCAAGCTCCCTTCCCCACTGTGTTCCCACAGGGATTGCTAAAGAAAGTGCTCCCCTCAATCAAACTTAAGCCTGATAGCAGACCTCCAAACAAGCCAGTCACATCCTTGAGTGGGACCAGGAGCCTCTGCAGCTCAGCATAAGGCCTCCCTGGCTCTCGTCCTGCAGTTCGTTCCAATTTTTATTCTTGTTGTTTTGTTTTGGGTTTGTTTTCGGTTTTTGTTTTTGGTTGTTTTTTTCAAGACAAGATTTCCCTGTGTAGCCCTGGTTGTCACAAACCTCTCTCTGTACACCAGGCTGGCCTCAAACTCATAGAGATCTGAGTGCCTCTGCCCCCCAAGTGCTCGGATTAAAGCTGTGCACCACCACTGCTCAGCCAGAAGACTGTCTTAATTTGTCTTAATTGTTGTACAGTTTGTGTTTTTCATAGATGGACACAGTACAAACCTGTAATCCCAGCAGATAGGGTAAAGGCAGGAGGATCAAGAGTATCATTTTTTGGTGGATTTTTCCAGTCATAATAAATTAGAACAAAAGACAGAATACAGTGTTTGGCAACAGTGTGTACATACACATACATATGTATATGAGTGTGGTATGTGTGTGTTTGACAACAGTGTATACACACACACATATGTATATGAGTGTGGTATGTGTGTGTTTGAATGTGTGGGTGCACATGTGTCTAGGTATAGTGTGGAGGCCTGAAGTGGGTTTGGGGAATCTTCCTTATTCTTCCAGTTTATTCTTTGAGGCAGGATTTCTCAATCAAACTCAGAGCTTGCTGATATGTCTCATCTCACCACCATCTTGCCCTGGGGACTGTCTCCAAATTCTGAGGCTGGGATGACAAAGGAGCCATCATACCCACCCAGCATTTATGTGGCTTCTGGGGATCCAAACTCTTATCCCTTTGCTTGTACCACAAGCACTTTAAGAGATGAGCCGTCCCACTGCCACCCAGGCACAATCCTGGATTTGAGTTGACCCAGCCCAAGATCTACATGCATGACCTGGAACACATCGTTTGTAACCACAGTCAAAGCATCTCCATGGCTTGGAGCATCAGTAGGATATCTGAGCGGAACATCAGAGCAGGGTGGTATGGATGGTGTACCAGAAGTCAGATGCCTTGACCAACCTAACAACTCATTACACAATGAACATTTGCAAGTAAAGCTGTTTGGACAAAAGGGTCTACTGTGCGACACACTGCAGCTTCCAAGGACACTAAGATGAATGAAGAGGGGATGGAGATTTGGGAAAGATAGAGTAGTAAAGTGGGGTTTTTGTGGTGGTTTTTTTTTTTTTGCTTTTTTTGTTCTTTTGTTTGTATTAATTATTATTAATTAATTAAAATTTCCTTTTGGGATGTACACTACAAGGGTGAAGGGTGGATATGAAGAGATGGAAATGAGTTGCATTGGGGTGCATGATGTGAAATTCCCACAGAATCAATAAAAAAAGGATTATGTTAAAAAATAAGATGAGTTTGAGGGCAGCCTGGTCTACAGAGAGAGTTCCAGGACAAAGTTACACACCTGTCTCGAAAAAAAAAAAAAGATGAACCATCTCCCCAACCCAACAATTTATATATTCTCTTGGATAAAAAGTTCCAGGGGGCTGGAGAGATGGCTCAGTGGTTAAGAGCATCGCCTGCTCTTCCAAAGGTCCTGAGTTCAATTCCCAGCAAATACGTGGTGGCTTACAACCATCTGTAATGAGGTCTGGTGCCCTCTTCTGGCCTGCAGACATACAGACAGAATATTGTATACATAATAAATAAATATTTATAAAAAAGTTCCAGGGGCAGTTGGGCAGTGGTGGGAGGCAGAGGTATGCAGATCTCTGTGAGTTCGAGGCCAGCTTGGTCTATAAGAGCTAGTTCTGGGATAGGTTCCAAAGCTACAGAAAAATCCTGTCTCAAAAATAAAAAATAAACCAAAGAAAGAAAGAAAGAAAGAAAAGAAATAAATGAGCTGGGAGGTGGTGGCAGCCTTCTCTGTGAGTGTGAGGCCAGCCTGGTATACAGAGAATGTCCCAGGACAGCGACAGAGTCCCTGTCTCAAAATACAAAAAAAAAAAAAAAAAGAAAGAAAGAAAGAAAAGAAAAAAGAAAGGAAGAAATGAAAAGAGAAATATTATTGACCCATGTGAGAAACCCTGTTTTGAAAAAAAAAAGGAAAGAAACGAAAAGAGGAACACTTCACCCCGTGAGGCATGTAAGAAGACACCCATCTGTGGTGATGGGAAAGCCATGGAACCTGTCCTGCCCTTGTTCTAATCTGGAATTTAGAGCCTCCATAGCTGAGATATACATCTTTGTTGTCTTTTTTTTGGAAGAGAGGGTGGTGTGTTGGGGCTGCGGTGCATTTGGAGAGTGTCCTGGCTAGTTTTATGTTATCTGAGAGATGGGAACCTCATTCGAAAGGAATGACTTCATGAAACTGGGCTGTAAAAGTCTACAGAGCATTTTCTTAGTGATTGACAAGGGAGGGCCCAACCCATTGTAGGTAGTACTACTGTGGGCTGGCTGTCCTGCGAGCTATAAGAAAGCAGACCGAGCAAGCCAGTAGGCAACACCCCTCTATAATCTCTGCATCAGCTCCTGCATCCAGATTCCTGCCTGGTTTGAGTTTCTGCCTTGGGCTTCCCTTAATGGATTGTGACCTGGGTTATGTAAGCCAAATAAACCCTTTCCTCCCCAAGTTGCTTTCAGTCAGTGTTTTATCACAGCAATAATAACCCTAACTAGCAGTGTTTTGCCTAGCATGCACAAAGCTCCTCAGTACTGCATAAACTGTGTGGTTGTACATACCCAACCTGAACCAGAAGGCCCTGAGAGGGAGGACTGAGAATGAGAAAAAAGAAGACGGGAAAGCTGGGACCAGAGAGCTTACGTTAGCTGATGGCTTATGTATGTCAAGCAAACTTATTAAGAAGTTCAGCATCTTTCTTTGGAAAGATTTATTTTTTCATTATGTATACAGTGTTTCACCTGCAGGGCAGAAGAGGACACCAGATCTTATTACAGATGGTTGTGAGCCACCATATGGTTGCTGGGAATTGAACTCAGGACCTCTGGAAGAGTACCCAGTGCCCTTAACCTCTAAGCCATCTCTCCAGCCCCTGTTTTTTTTTTTTTCCCAAAGAGTATTTTAACAACCTCAGTACAATACATTTCTTTTTTTTTTTTTCCTTTGGTTTTTTTTCGAGACAGGGTTTCTCTGTGGTTTTGGAGCCTGTCCTGGAACTAGCTCTTGTACACCAGGCTGGTCTCGAACTCACAGAGATCCACCTGCCTCTGCCTCCCGAGTGCTGGGATTAAAGGCGTGTGCCACCACCACCCGTACAATACATTTCTTAAAAAATCTACTAGGAGGGGGAGGGGAATGGGAGGAGGGGGAAACTTTTTTTTTTCCTTTTCTCAATAAAAAAAAGAAAAGAAAAAAATCTACTAGAAGCAGATTTTCTTTCTTTCTTCCTTCTTTCCTTCCTTCCTCAGAGACAAAGTTTCCTTGTATGGACCTGGCTGCTGGCTGTCTGGGAACTTACTCTGTAGAGCAGGATGACTTTGATCTCAGAGATCTGCCTGCCTCTGCCTCCTGAGTGCTGGGAGTAAAGGCCTGCACCACGACTGTCCAGATTAGAAGCAGATTTTCTCACTGATTTATTTGTTTATATATTTATCAAGATAGGGTCCTGCTGTGTAACCCTGACAGGCCTGGGGTTCACTATGTAAAGCAGGCTTATCTCCAACTTGCAATAATCTTCCTATCTCTGTCTCCTAAATACTGGGATTTTAGGCATATCTCAACCACATTTAGCCTGATTTTTGTTTTGTTTTTTGGAAAAGATATTATGCAGCCCAGACTAGCCATGAGCTCCTGAGCCTTTTGTTCTCACTTTCCATGGACAGCACCACACCTCCCTAGAAACAGGTTCTCTCCACCAGAAATGCAAAGGACAAGCCAGGCAGTCATCACCACAGGTCTTTACTCCCAGCACTTCGGAGGCAGAGGCAGGCAGATCTCTGAGTTTGAGGCCAGCCTGGTCTACAGAGTGAATTCCAGGACAGTCAGGACTACACAGAGAAACCTTGTCTTGATAAAAAAAAAAAAGGCTGGAAAGATGGCAAGATGGCTCAGCAGTTAAGAGCACTGACTGCTCTTCCAGAGCACAGCAACCACACAGTGGCTCGCAACCATCTGCAGTAATATCTGGTACCCTCTACTGGAGTACAGGCATATATGCAGGCAGACCACTGTATACATAAGAAATAAATTAAAAACAAAACAACAACAACAAAAGAATGAGAGAAGAAATGCAAAGGCACAGAAACCCAGTTGTTTTAATGAAACTGGGGGGTTTCATGTTAATATATACGAGACTAATTCTGATCAGACACAGGGAGACACATCTGGAATCCCAATACTAGAAAAACTGTGGTAAATGATTAAAGTCCAAGGTTAGCTTGGGTAAGTAGTCAGACTCTGTCCAAAATACACAAAGATCACTTGGGGCAAATATTTGCCATAAGCACTACATGAAAGATCTATTTTTTAAAAAAAAAAAACAAGGGCTAGAGGGATAGTTCAGCAGTTAAGGGTACTGGCTGCTCTTCCAGAGGACCTGGATTCAATTCCCAGCATTCATATGGCAGCTCACATCTATCTGTAATTCTAAGATCTGACACCCTCACAGAGACATACATGCAGACAAAATACCAATGCCCATAAAATAAAAATTAATCAATTAATTAAAAATGGTAAATGCCTTTAAGCCCAGTGCTCAGGAAGCAAAGGCTGGTGGAAGTCAATGAGTTGGAAGCCTGTTAGGTTGACACATATCAGGCCAACTAGAGTTTCAGGTCAACTTGCGCTATCTAGTAATAGTAGTAGATGCTCCAGGTATTCTAAGAACATAGTATCAAACTGTCTTCTGAAAACTTTTATGAATACCTTTATGAATGTCTTTATATCCATAGATTAGTGCAGCTCTCAACCCTAAATAATTGTGGAGTTACTCAGCCCCAAATCGGTCCTTCATATCCCCCCCCCAATATAATTCAGGAAACATCACAGAAGAGGGGGCAGAAAGTTTGTAAGAAGCAGGGTTGGTGAGCCAGGGCTTGGTGTGGACGGTGTAGACAGGCCTTGTAGAAGACAGGAGGGCCATGCCTTGTGCATCCACACCAATTGTGATTCCTATGCAGGGAACAATGGCTAGGGATGTTCAACAACTCGTTACACTTCTTTGGCAGGGAAGAAGTAGAGGAGAGTTGGTCTGGAGTTCACCCACTAACTGGCCCTGGGGCTATGCCACAACTCCAGAAGTCATCATGCCTATCACTCAATACTGAGTCTCTTAAAACACTTTCGGCTCCTGATTACAGCGAGAGCGGCTCAGCATTCTGTTAGCCTGTGGTTCTTAGAGTCACCATCAGGGCCAGTATTTCTAAGCTGGGGACACCCACATAATCCTGTCTAGATACCATAAGTCATACAAGTACTCTCACCCCCTGACAGTTTAGGCCTTATTTTCCAGAGGCCATGGTGATGAGGACAGGAGATAGAAATGTAATTCACAGTAGAGACCCCTAAACAGCTGTTCTGTTCTTAGCCAGAAATGCCATGAGTCCTGTCTTCGCTGGAGGCCAAAGATGCGAGAGCATTTTGATTCCTGGTCTGTGTTCTTCCTAAACTAGTATTCCTGCCCAGAGGCAGTATATGAGAGTGAGACCTAACCTTCAATCCAGATACTATTCCCGTCCAGTGAACACCTTTAAAAGTGAATCATAGCCGGGCAGTGGTGGCGCACGCCTTTAATCCCAGCACTCGGGGACTGGAGAGATGGGTCAGTGGTTAAGAGCACTGCCTGCTCTTCCAAAGGTCCTGAGTTCAATTCCCAGCAACCACATGGTGGCTCACAGCCATCTGTAATGAGATCTGGTGCCCTCTTCTGGCCTGCAGGAATGCATACAGACAGAACACTGTATACTTAATAAATAAATAAATCTTAAAAAAAAAATCCCAGCACTCGGGAGGCAGAGGCAGGCGGATCTCTGTGAGTTCAAGACCAGCCTGGTCTACAAAGGGAGTTCCAGGACCAGGACAGGCTCCAAAGTTACAGAGAAACCCTGTCTCGAAAAACCAAAAAAATAAAAAAAAATAAAAGTGGATGATAGCCAGGCGATGGTGGCACACACCTTTATTTAATCCCAGCACCGAGGGAGGCAGAGCAGGCAGGTGAATCTCTGTGAGTTTGAGGCCAGCCTGGTCTACAGAGTGAGTTCCAAGATAGCCAGAGATAGACAGAGAAACCCTGTCTCAACAAACCAAACCAAAACAACAAAACAACAACAACAAAAAGTGGATCTCTAGGTTTTAATAGGTTATATCAGTTCCCAATTTTTCTTTCTTTCTTCAGTTTTTTGAGACAGTTTCTTCATGTAGCTTTGGAGCCTGTTCTGGAACTCTCTCCATAGACCAGGCTGGCCTTGAACTCAAAGAGATCCACCTGCCTCTGTCTTCAGAGTCCTGGGATTAAAGGTGTGTGCCACCACCAGCCAGTCTCAATTCCCAAATTTTAACCCATCTCCTAATGATGTTAGGTTCTCATTCTTGACAGGGGAATGTTATGGTAGCATGAGAGGCCACTGAGGCTTTGAACCCCACTTGCCCCACCTGCCTATTGTGCTAGCTAGTTTTATGTCAACTTGATACAACTGAGAAGATGCCTCCATAAAAATCCAGCTATAGGCAAGCCTGTAGAGCATTTTCTTAATTAGTGGTTGTTGTGGGAGGGCCATCTCTGGGCTGGTAGTCCCGAGCAAGCCACGAGGTGCATCATGGCCTCTGGTCAGCTTCTGCCTCTAGGCTCTTGCCCTGGTTTCCTCCGATGATGTACGGATGTGTAAACCATACGAACCCTTTCCTCTCCAGTTTGCTTTTGGTCATGGTGTTTCACCATACTGATAGTAACCCTAAGTCACCTGGTAACACTAGAAGGGTAGACATCACTTCTGACCCTCCCTTGGGCTTTAAAATAACCTATGAGGAGCTGGAGAGATGGCTTGGTGGTTAAGAGCACACGCTGCTCTTGCAGTAGGGCCCGGGTTTAGTCCCCAGCCATAACTGCTTGAACTCCAGCTCCAAGGGGATCTGATGCCTCTGATCTCCAAGGGAACTTGAACTCACATGCACATTCCCACACACAGAGAGCTGGGCATAGTGATGGAAGCCTTTAATCCCAGCACTCGGGAGGCTGAAGCAGGTAGATCTCTGAGTTCAAGGTCAGCCTGGTTTACAGAGGCTACACACAGAGACCCAAAGTTGCGGTCAACACTCTCTTCTCGTCACTGGGGTAGCTTCAGAGCTTCAGAGCTGCTCTTCCCATACCCTTCACCTTGGGCTGATGGGGACAGCTCCAAATATATATATATATATATATATATATATATATATATATATATATATATTGTCCTTGGCAGAGAACCCCGGAGCAGGAGTGAGGGGTGGGGGAAGGGGCAGTGCTGCATTCATCTATTACTTCAAATCCACACACAGGCTTCTGCATATGCATTCAAGTTTATTCTCTAAGGGCTGCTAGGCTGTGGCATCTGGAAGTCTGACAACTTTGTGAAGCTGACGCTGAGAACCCTGGCCAGCGCTGATGCCCACACTTTTGGATAGCCTTGCAGTTGATGAGGTGGTCACAGCTTCCACGTTCCTTCACACACAGCCTTGTACACGTCTGGCATTAAACGGCTGAAGGTCTGGGTCTTGTGGTCCAGTATGTACAAGGGGTCAACAATGACTCCCACGTCAAAACCCTCACGCACCAGTTGTAACTTCACCAGTTTGAAGGTGCCTGTGACCTCCAGGGAGTCCTGCAAAGGAGTAATCGTGACCCAATTGTGACATCAATTCCCTTATCCATCCACTCCTGCTACCTCGCCCTCACCTGGATGCGGATGAAATGAGGTGCGGCGTAAGCAGGGAGCCGGGAATGGACGTGCTGGTATAGTTTCTGCCCATCAAAATTCTGCCCAGGAGTCAACTTCACAGCAGCCATGCCAACCTTCCCCTCACACCCTGGAAAGCACGCTGATCACTCTCAGCTGGCCAGCTCTACACACTGGCTGTGCAACTAGACGTAATTCTTAACCCCTCTGGACCCCAACAGGACCCCCAATTTATAATGACAATCCCCCACCCACAAAGGTACAGATGTTTAAAGTCAGGCAAATTCTCCATACCTGGCACGGGCACGCCATAGACATTGACTTCCTGTAGGAAGTCTAAGCTCGACAACACTCCCTCCACCTCTCGCGTGGATACATTTTCGCCCTTCCACCTGCAGGGTGGGAGGTCATGCCCTAGGATAGGAATGGGCTGCCCCCTGAAAAGGATGCTACCATCCCTGAGAGACCCCAGCCCCAGGAAGGGATGTTCTGTCCCTGGGAAGAGAAGCCACATCCCAGGAATAGAGAACACACTCCAGAAAGGGATGTTATACACCTGGGAAGAGAGGGCCACACCCATCCCTAGAGAGGCTGGACACCCCAGAAGCCCCATACCCCAACCCACCCAAGCCTGACCGGAAGGTGTCACCAAGGCGGTCCTGGAAGTAGAAGAAGCCTTCACTGTCCAAGGACAGTACGTCGCCAGTGTTGTAGTAGAGGTCTCCTACACGCCGCACATCTGTAACCAGTTTTCGCTTGGTCTGTTCCTTGGGACCACGGTAGCCCAGAAAGGGTTGGTTCTTCAGTATCTTGGTCAGCAGGAGTCCTGCCTCCCCTGGAGGTATAAATGGCAAATAAGCCCTAAGTGAGAACCCCACCAGCTCATGAAGCAGCCCATACTACAGGTTCCTCACTTTTCATCTGGCCAAAGGCAGAACTCAATTGTACTGTTACGGCTGGAGAGACTGTGAGTTCAGTGGTTAAGAACACCGGCTGGCTGGCAGTGGTGGCACACGCTTTTAATCCCAGCACTTGGGGGCAAAGGTAGGTGGGTCTCTGTGAGTTCAAGGTGAGTCTGGTCTACAGAGCTAGTTCCAGGACAGCCAAGGCTATCTCTGTGTACAGAGAAACCCTGTTCTCAAAAAACAGAAAAGGAGGGGGCTGGAGAGATGGCTCAGTGGTTAAGAGCATTGCCTGCTCTTCCAAAGGTCCTGAGTTCAATTCCCGGCAACCACATGGTGGCTCACAACCATCTGGAATGAGGTCTGGTGCCCTCTTCTGGCCTGCAGACATACACAAAGACAGAATATTGTATACATAATAAATAAATATATATTTTTTAAAAAAAACAGAAAAGGAAAGAGAGGGAGAGAAAGAGAATACTGGCGGCTGTATCTAATGTTAGATTTCCACCATCCACACGGTCCCTCACAATCACCTTCTGTAACTTTAGTTCCAGGGGATTCGACACCCTCTTCTGCCTTCCCCAGGCACCAAGCACACACATGGTGCAATTCATAAATGCAGGCAAGCCGGGCGGTGGTGGTGCACGCCTTTAATCCCAGCACTCGGGAGGCAGAGGCAGGTGGATCTCTGTGAGTTCGAGGCCAGCCTGGTCTACAACAGCTAGTGCCAGGACAGGCTCCAAAGCTACAGAGAAACCATGTCTCGAAAAAACTTTAAAAAAAATAAAATAAAAATAAATGCAGGCAAATAACATATACATAAAATAAAAATTTAAAAGAGGTGTTGAAGCCGGGCGGTGGTGGCGCACGCCTTTAATTCCAGCACTCGGGAGGCAGAGGCAGGTGGATCTCTGGAAGTTCGAGGCCAGCCTGGTCTACAAAGCTACAGAGAAACCCTGCCTCAAAAAACCAAAAAAAAAAAAAAAAAAAAAAAAAAAAAAAAAAAAAAGAGGTGTTGATGGGAGACACACTTAAGGCGAGAGAAACCAAGAAAAAGACAGAGAAACTTGGAAAATGGAGAGCTCTGAAAAAGAGAAGGTAGCATCAGGGTGTCCATAAGAAACAGGGCGAGGGTGGGGAACTGACAAATGGGGATTGGAAGAAAGATAAGCCAGAGCACTTGTAAAACCCCAGGAGAGGAAGTGCGGGGTAAGGGACTGATGTCTAGGAGGTTGTGACCCTACAGAATGCTCGAGGGAACCAACAGATACACATCAATGCAGTAGAACAGAATAAGACTGAAGCAGGAGAACTGGGCCGAGCCAGAACTCTGGAAGGCAAAGGTCCCCAAGTGATGGTGAGACGGGCCAGTGACTTGAGCTCAAGGTGAGGGTTATAGACCTATCACCATGTTAAGACTTTGGGCCAGGCATGGTGGCACACTCCTGTAATTTTATCACTTGGAAAGTAGAGGGAAAAGGATTGAGAGTTCCAGACCAGCTTGGGCTACATGAGGACTTACACTTAAAAATTGGAAGAAGTTAACCAAAGGCCCTGGGGCAGCTTGTTCCAGCCAAAGAGGTGGAGGTAACTACCCCTCAGACATCCACAGAAGGCTTGCTGACCTCCTTACCTGGCCTCACAGGGATGCAGAAGCCCTGGTTGTCCCTTATAGGCTCTGCCGTCTCTACATCGAACTGTACAAGCTCAAAGGGACTCAGCATCTGGGATGGAGGATGGGGAGCATCGGTTAAGGTCCTGGGGGCTCAGTCTCAGGACCACCATCACACCGGGAGTCCCGTACACTCACGCGAAGGAAGCAGTTGGTCTTGCCCACAGCCCCGCAGCGTCCCACATAGTTCATTAAGCCCGTGTTGCCCTCTGTGGAGCCATAGAATTCCCAGATCCGAATGGGACCAAAGCGTTGCTGGAAGATTTTCCACACTTCTTCCCGAAGTCCATTACCCATTGCCAGGCGGACTGGATGTGTCTTGTCTTCTGGTTGCTGCAGGAACATCCCGAGAAAGGTCAGAAGGTGATGCCCTAGAAGGCATGGCTGAGAACTTTTTCTGAAGAAAGTATCTTTTAAGTGTTAATCTTGGGAATTACCTAGGAAGTGGAAGTGGTGGGACCTATACTTATAGAATCTACATGAGGTACTTAAGAATTAGACATTGGCCAGGTGGTGGTGGCACACACCTTTAATCCCAGCACTCTGGAGGCAGAGAGATCTCTGTGAGTTCGAGGCCAGCCTGGTCTACAGAGTAAGTTCTAGGACAGCCAGGACTGTTATATACAGAAACCTTGTCTAAGAAAACAAAACAAACAAACAAAAAAGGGTTAAACATGGGTGCTGGAGATGCCTATAATCCAGCACTCACAAAACTGAGGCAGGAGGGGGGCTGGAGAAATGGCTCAGAGGTTAAGAGCATTGGCTGCTCTTCCAGAGGTCCTGAGTTCAATTTCCAGCAACCACATGGTGGCTCACAACCATCTGTACTGAGATCTGACGCCCTCCTCTGGCATGAGGTCATACATCGAGGCAGAATGTTGTATACATAATAAATAAATAAATAAATCTTAAAAAAAACTGAGGCAAGAGGATTATGAGTTGGAGAGCAAATGAGCTGCATAGCAAATTACAGGCCAGCCTGGCTATATAGGGACAGCCCCATCTTAAAAGAAAAGTAGGGCTGGAGCGATGGCATAGAGGGTAAGAGACCGTTCTTCCAGAGGTACTGAGTTTGGTTCCCGGTGGCCACACGGTGGGCAACCATCTACGGGGGGATCTGGTGCCCTCTTCTGGCATGTGTACACATAATAAATATATTAATTTAAAAAAAAAGTATTATTGACATCTCTACCTAAATTATCTCTGCAGACAGTATAGAGGAACTTTGCTAATGCGCAGTTACCTAGCTAGGAGTAACTAGAGACAACAAGCCCTCTGCTCTTCCCTCGGCAGGCATCTGACCGGCTGGCACTGCTGGGAGTAGTCTCCAGGAGCCTGATCTAGGAGAACTGTTACCTGCAGGCATTACCTACAAGGGTTTCCGTGGAGGGGTGACATTCATCTATAGGTAAACCTTATCTAGAAGTGCCTACCTAAGGAAGGGATCTTATCAGGACGGATTTTCAGGGGGCTTTTGATTTGAAACTGCAGGGTGCAGGGGGAGAGACTGGGAAGTGGAGCATATTGCCTAGAGACAGTTTCCTAGGGACTGCAGCTCAGCTCTATAAAAATAAAAGCATCTAGCATCTAGTGTGTTTACCCTGCGTCACATTGTTCCAGGTACTTTACATAATCAATTCATTTCATGTTTCAGGTAGGGGATATTCTTTTTATTCCAGTATCCAGTATCCAGTATTATATTTGTAAACTGAGATCCAGAGCTAGTTAAGGTTCAGATTGGAATTGTTCTCATTTATGTTTTTCTTTTCTTTCTTTCTTTCTTCTTCCTATTTATTTATTTCTTGGGTTTTTCAAGATAGGGTTTCTCTGTAGCTTTGGAGCCTGTCCTGGAACTAGCTCTTGTAGACCAGGCTGGCCTCGAACTCACAGAGATCCGCCTGCCTCTGGCTCCCAAATGCTGGGATTAAAGGTGTGCCGCCACCACCACCTGGTTACGGTTTTCAAATGAAGCTACTGAAACTGGACAAGTTAGAGTCACCTCCATTGTGAGTTTGCCATTGTGACCCAATCTAGAACCAAGTGGGAAAGGAGTCTTAGTGAAGGACTACTTAAGTTCGATTGGCTTGCAGCAGGCCTGTGACAGACTGACTTTGGAAGACCCATCCTGAACGCGGGTGTCATCATTCTAGGTGGGACTAGACCAAGGGGAAACAGCTGAGTGTGTAGTGGCGTGCACACATTAATGCATTGCTGAGGCTCCTGACTGTGGGTGTGATGTGAACAGCGGCTTTAAATTCCTGTAGCCTGAGCATTGTTTGTAATAGCCAGAACCTGGAAACAACCTAGATGCCCTTCAATGGAAGAATGGATGAAGAAAGTATGGAATATATACATATTAGAGTACTACTCAGCAGTAAAAAACAAGGACTTCTTGAATTTTGCATGCAAATGGACGGAAATAGAAAACACTATCCTGAGTGAGGTAAGCCAGACCCAAAAAGAGGAACATGGGATGTACTCACTCATAATTGGTTTCTAGCCATAAATAAAGGACATTGAGCCTATAATTCGTGATCCTAGAGAAGCTAAATAAGAAGGTGAACCCAAAGAAAAACATATAGGCATCCTCCTGGATATTAACCTTCATCAGGCGATGAAAGGAGACAGAGACAGAGACCCACATTGGAGCACCGGACAGAAATCCCAAGGTCCAAATCAGGAGCAGAAGGAGAGAGAGCACGAGCAAGGAACTCAGGACCACGAGGGGTGCACCCACACACTGAGACAATGGGGATGTTCTACCAGGAACTCACCAAGGCCAGCTGGCCTGGGTCTGAAAAAGCCTGGGATAAAACCAGACTCGCTGAACATAGCGGACAATGAGGACTGCTGAGAACTCAAGAACAATGGCACTGGGTTTTGATCCTACTGCATGTACTGGCTTTGTGGGAGCCTAGGCAGTTTGGATGCTCACCTTACTAGACCTGGATGGAGGTGGGTGGTCCTTGGACTTCCCAAGGGCAGGGAACCCTGACTGCTCTTCGGGCTGACGAGGGAGGGGGACTTGATTGGGGGAGGGGGGGAAATGAGAGGCGGTGGCGGGGAGGAGACAGAAATCTTTAATAAATAAATAAATAAATAAATAATTCCTGCAGCCTGGACTTCCCCACAATAATGCACTATGACCTAGAACTGGAAACTAAAGTAAACCTTTTCTTCCTTGGGCTGTTTTCATATTTTACAACAAAGGAAACTAGGACACACCTGCCCAGGTGACTGACCATCAAAGCACCCAGTACAAAACAACATGGAAAGTGGAATTTACCACGTGAAAGTGTAGCCCAGGCTAATTTAGCTCCCTTGTGTAGTCAAGAGGTGACCTTGCTTGAGGCCTCTAGGTGTGGGTCCTTCTGTCTTTTGTGTCGGGTTTCACATACGCTAGGCCTGTGCTCTACTTCTGAGTCATGTTTATCCAAAAAATTGCTCAGTCTCGGAGCCTCACCTCAGGAACATTACACAGGTACCGTAGGACCTCACCCACATACTGGATCACTGTTACACCGTGCTGCCGACAGTCAGCCCAGAAGCGGGAGGCAGAGAACTTGGGGGCCAGGACACAGGTTGCTCCTGGTAGGGAAAAAATAAGTGATCATGTTCCATGTTGCTAAGAGAATCTATGTGATTACCTGGGCGTGGCATTTCAAAGGCATAGTAATGGCACACTCACCTAAATGACCCATGCACCTAAAATTTACCAGCTGATGGAGGAGGGTCATCTTTCTATCTGTTGATTTCATTGGTTAAGCAATAAAGAAACTGCTTGGCCCTCATAGATTAAAACATAGGTGGGAGGAGTAAACAGAACAGAATGCTGGGAGAAAGAAGCTGAGTCAGAGAGTCGCCATGATTCTCCCACTCCAGGCAGACGCAGGTTAAGATCATTCCTGGTAAGCCAGCTCGTGGGCTACACAGATTATAAGAAATGGGCTAGTCCAGGTGCGAGAGTTAGCCGAGAAGAGGCTAGATAGAAATGAGCCAAGCAGTGTTTAAAAGAATACAGTTTCCGTGTATTTATTTCGGGGCATAAGCTAGAGCTAGCCATGTGGGCGGCCGGGTGCTGGGGACGCAGCCCGCCCCTCTTACTACTACAACCAGCGAGGCATTAGAGTTTGGTTCATTTTTGCCTAGAACCCACCAGTGAGGGGATGGTGGTGTGGGTCAATGGTAGAGCACTTGCCCCAAACTCTGTAGAAAGGGGCTTACGTTGTTCAAGGTCTTAGGCTCCACCTTTTGGGAATGGAGACTCTAGAAAACATTTTCTTTAACCTTGTTTTTTTGTTTGTATTTTGAGACAGGGTTTCTTGTGTAACAACCCTAGCTCTTCTAGAACAGGCTGGGTTCGAACTCACAGAGATCCACCTGCCTCTGCCTCCCAAGTGCTGGGATTAAAGGCTTGTGCTACCACTGCCCAGCCTTGTTGTTGCATTTTTAATGAAAGAACTTTTTTCTTTGGCAGGGGGACAGTTTGAGACAGGGTTTCTCTGTGTAGCCCTGGCTGTCCTGGAACTCACTCTATAGACCAGGCTAGCCTCGAATTCAGAGATCCACCTGTCTCTGCCCCTGTAGCGATTAAAGGTGTGAGCTACTACCCCCTGGCAGATTTGTTTTTTATGTGTACATGCCTGCATGGGTATGTGTGTACGTATATGCACCACATGCATGTGGGTACCTATCGAGGCCAGGAGAAGGCGTCAGATCCCCTGGAGTTGGAGTGACTCTGATGTTGGTACTGGGAAGCAAACCTGTTAAGAGCAGCAGGCGGTCTTTTCTACCGAGTTATTATCCACAGCTGACTTGGGCCTTTCTATGTATGTAATCAGTCTGAGACTGATCTGCAGTGTCTCAGCTTCTGCCTCCCGAGCAATGTACTGAGCTCAGTGGCACTAGTCACCTCCTGGGACACACTGTGTACACCAGGCTGGCCTTGAACTCCACCTGCCTCTGCCTCCCAAGTGCTGGAATTAAAATCAGGCCACTACTGGCCTGAGCCCTTGTCTTCCAAGGAAAACAAAAAAGACAAAAAGTGTCTAAAACTTGGGCATGACGGTACATGTCTGCCAGGACCATCAGAAGTTCAAGGCCACCTTCAACTATATACCAAGTCTGAGGCCAGCCTGGGCTAAATGGCCCAACCTGGGGTGGGGAAAACAAAGTCAGGGTGCATAGTATAGAATCCTGACCTTTCGACTGCCCTGCACTAACGCACTGTGGTCCTTGGAAGACTTACCAAGTTCTAAGCAGCCCAGGACTCCAAGGACGAGGCCAATCGTATGGTACAGAGGAAGAACAACATAGACCACGTCGTCAGCTGTGGCCTCGCAGAAGGACAGCATCTTGCTCATCTGGATGACCCGCTCATGTGAGAGAATGGCTGGCTTTGGGAGGCCTGGAGGGTGAGGGGGGCAGTAAGGGTGGGCAAGGAGAGAGACCGACTACCACTGCAGGGTGGTCTGCCTGCGGCTGAGCCTCTCAGAGGGGACCAGACATGAAGATTGTTCTGGGTAAAGTGAGGTAAGAGCAAAGGGAGCTCAAAGCCAGTTAAAGCTGCAAGAGACCAAAAAAATAAATAACAAAAAGCATGAAAACTCACTGAGTATCTTTTTGTTTTTTGTGCATGTTTTGTTTTTTGAGACAATATCGTTCTCTGTGGCTCAAGCTAGCTTAGACTCACTATGTAACCCAGACTGCCCTTCTTCCTTCCTTTCTTCCTTCTCCCCCTCCCTTTTTTGTCATCTTCCCTTTCTTTTTATCAAAAAGAACCTTCATTCCTTATTTATTTATTTATTATTTTGTTTTTTTTTTTTTCAGGACAGGAATTCTCTGTGTAGCCCTGGTTGTTCTGGAACTTGCTCTGTAGACCAGGCTGGCCTCAACTCACAGAGATCCTCTAGCCTCTGCCTCCAGAGAGCTGGGAATAAAGGCGTACGTTACCACACCCAGCTTGAATTTGTATTCCTTTTTAAAAACATGGAATGGAATGCTTGGTGAATTTGCCTTGCACAGCGGAAATGCTAATGTGTGTATTTTTTGATTTTAGTAAGCAATCCACTGGAAGGTGCACACCTTGAACTCTACATTCTCTGGCCTCTCAACCCCTGAGTGCTGAGATTTACATGTGAACAGCACCACATCCCAGTCTGTGGTTGGTTTTCAGAGTTGGGGGAGGATAATAAATCCAAACAAAATAGTAGCGCACTTGGGGTCAGGGTCAAAGTCAGAGGTTGGGTGTCCAGTGCTAGGGCAAGGTGAGGTCAGGGTGTGGGAGCGGAGGGTGGGGGCAGGGCCATCAGTCTCCTCACCAGTGGTTCCTGATGTGTAGATGAATAAGGCAGGGCTTCGCCACTTGATCTGGGCTCGAAAGCTGGCAGGCACCGGGTCAGATGGAGCAGCATTCAGGGCAGGCTCCAGAGCCTCCACACCTGGAGTGGGTGAGCTGTGGCCAAGGTAGAAGCAGGAGACGTTCTCTGCTAGGAGCTGGGGAAGGACTTCTTCCAGGCTCTCCCGGAGGTCTGCGGGACCATCAGAGGAAAAGAGAGGTAACTCGCAGCTTCCTCCAAAGTCAAAAGGGAGTCTCAGAAACCCAGGGACTGAAAGCAGGTAGCAGAGAAAAGTTCCCCCATTCCTGGATGAAGAACTTTATAATGCCAGGCGGTGGTGGCACATGCCTTTAATCCCAGGACTCAGAAGACAGAGGCATGTGGATATCTTGAGTTTGAGGCCAGCCTGGTCTACGGATCGAGTTCCAGTGCAGCCAAGGCTACACAGAGAAACCCTGTCTCGAAAAACAAACGAACAAAAGAACCTCATAATTCATAGAATATAAATTTAGTCAAATAAATCTGGGCATCATGGCGCACGCCTTCAATCCCAGCACTCAGGAGGGAGAGGCAGGTGGAACTCTGTGAGTTCGAGGTCAGCCTGATCTACATATGGAGTTCCAGACAACTGGTGCTTCATATAATATCCTGTCTTAAAACAAAACAACAACAACAACAACAACAAAAAACTTCAATTAAAAAAATTAATCAGCCGGGCGGTGGTGGCGCATGCCTTTAATCCCAGCACTCGGGAGGCAGAGGCAGGCGGATCTCTGTGAGTTCGAGGCCAGCCTGGTCTACAAGAGCTAGTTCCAGGACAGGCTCCAAAACCACAGAGAAACCCTGTCTCGAAAAAACAAAAAAAAAAAAAAATTAATCAAATGGACCTGAAAGATTTAGGGGAAAATATTTAAAGCGGCAACCCTAGAATTACTTCCCAGGTAAACCAACATTTTGACCCTTACGGCACGGGGCAGATATAGATACAACACAGGCTTCCTGCCCAGCTCCCAGAAGCTTGTCCCCTTTTCACTGGCCCTAGGGCACTCACCTGGGTCCACAATGAGCATACTGGCCCCAGAGCTCAGCACCGAGTGCAGCAGGGGCTTCCCTCGGCCATGTGGGTTGATCCAGGCCACAGGGCAGCCCAGCTTGGCCAACCCCAGAAACACACTCAAAGCAGAAATGTTCTTGGAGGGGAGCACTAAGAGGGCCGCAATCTCTCTGGCCTGCTGGCTGCTGTCTTCCTTCAGCTTTGCTTTTAGTGCCCACGCTGCCTGACAGGCCCTGGCATCCAGCTGGCTATTGGTGATTGAGTGGGCCCCAGACCCTGTACACACCAAGGCCGCCTTGTCAGGCCGTGCCTGTGCTTGCCGCTCCAAAGCATCCACAAAGGTCTCTGGAGGCTGCTTGTTAAGGAGTCGCCTAGTTTTCAGGGCATAGGAGAGGATCTTGAACATGTAGGCCACATCTTTGTGTAGCCAGCGTAGTCCCGGGGGTGGCTGTGGAGGCAACAGAGTTAATGTAACACCTGCAGCTACCAGACTCAGCCAGTGGGGCATCCAGGAGCTGATCCAGGGTTTGGCCAGCAATGCTAAGGCAAGGAGTACAAAGCATGTGGGGTCCCCCAGGAACCAGCGCAGGGCCAAGGCCACAGCTGCTGGCCATGGGGGCTGCCTCAGGCCAACCAGCAGAAGCGGCAACAGTAGCAGGAAGGTCAGTTTCTGCCAAACGCCCATGGCACTGGCTCGTTCTGAAGTCGCTGTAGTCTCAATTCTGTCCAGAGCGCTGAAGCCCTACCTTCCTGCCTTTAAGGGAATCTGCCTACCCCAATCCCCAGTTATGATCAGTACTATCAGCAACTGCTCTTGTCCCTTGAACTCTGTCCTTTTGCCACACAGTTCTTATTGGCTGGGAGTCCTCCTACAGTTCCAGCCCTCTGCCTGATCGCCAGGCCTGCTCCACCTCCTTTGGACACCACCAACCAGCCTCCTCTTGAAGGCTAGCATTTGTCTCCATCTCATGTCTGTTAAGGATGGGAAACTAGGGGGCTGGAGAGTTGGCTCAGCAGTTAAGAGCACTGATGGCTCTTCTAAAGGACCCAGATTCAATTCTCAGCACCCACATGGAGGCTCACAACTGTATCACCACTTCTTGGGGATGGGACACCCTCACACAGATATACATGCAGGCAAAACACCAATGAACACTAAATAAAAATAAATAAATAAAAAGTAGGCATATGCCTTTAATCCCAGCACTCAGTAGGCAGAGGCAGGAGGATCTCTCAGTTCAAGGCCAGCCTGGTCTACAGAGTGAGTTCCATGATGGGCTCCATAGCTACTGGGAAACCCTGTCTCAGGAAAACAAAAAGGATGAGAAAGTAGGCAGGAAGGGAATAAGACCTGCCTAACTCCAGTCAATAAGATAAGAAGTCCAGCCTGTGTCTCAATTACCTACCTTGAGGTAATTTCATGAAACCCAGGTCTTGGCCTAAACTATCCAAGGGAAACCTGTTGACTGTCAGGTACAGTAGCAGCTCAGTAAACACTCAGAACACCTTTAATCATCTGGATTTAACACACTTCTGTTCTCCACTATGAGCCTGCGGCACGGAGATTCTGCCTCACTTCTGGTGTTCTTGTGGATTGAGCCTTGGGATTCAGAAGACTGAGCCACAGAAGAGCCCCATGGGCCCAGGACACAAGCAGGTAGGCCTTTCAAGCTACAGCTTCTCCTGCCCCAAATCCTTAGTTAGACATCAGTGTATCAGAGGTGGGAAGGGGACAGGGAGGAAGCCTTTCTGAGCTGAGAGCAGGTATCATGCTGGTTTCTTTGACACTAGGCCACCTTCTTTATTCAACAGGCAACCTGGGTTCTATGAATTCTTGCTTCCCACCCACCTGACACAGCCATCCAATTCACTCTGGGTTCTCTAGTACTGGGAGTCCAACATCCAGGGTTCAAATGTCCTCACAGCAGCCTGGCCCCCAAGAGCCCTCCTAGGCATCTCACGAGTGGGATGTCCAACATTCATGTCCATCAGGAAGGGGGAGGGAAAACCTTGAGTCTTAAAGGTTTCTGGTTGGAAGGGAGACTCAATTTCTGCAATGTGTATGTAGCCGCCAGCATTGGGACTGGGATTCCCCTCCCCACAGGGTTGAACACTTCAAGAAAACTGGATGACTGTTACATATGCAGGCCACCCACCTAAATCCCAAAATAAAAGTTCAGGCTATCAAACCAAATTGTGCCTACCTGCCCAGGAAATCTCAAGGGACTGCAAAGGTACAACCCACGAACGTGGGGACCAAGCCCCAAGCCCATAACTCAAAAAGCCTACTAGGCATGTACTGGCCCAACATCCTTTATTAGAATGGAATCCTAAAGTTCCATGGTAGGTCCATCCGAGTCTCCACAGGCGCCCAATGAGGAAAGGGAAATCCAGACTGAGGGTGAGTGTAGGTCCCATGGGTCTACCCCTGCTCCTGGGTTTCATCTTGAGGACAGTTTCTGGTCAGCCAGCTAAACATCCTGTTTGTTCCTGTGCTCCCTCTGCCCCACCTGGTGATTAGCTTCACCTTGGGCGTGGTAATTTCCCACCTGCCTGGGGGGTATTTCATTGTGCAGCAGCTAGGTATTAAGGTTTTCCCTAAACTTGAATAAACGGCATTCGGCTGATCTTCTTTCGAATGACCCAGGTCTCTTGTGTGTTCTTTCAATCTCCAGGCCCTTGCCCGGCTCACTTACAATGGTGAGTGAACTATACCGAAAATAGCACAGCAGCCGCAGGCGTTACAGGTGAGGTCAGAGAATTCTAGCCCAGCACTGGGGCAGAGGATAACCCTAGACATCATATCCCGACAGGGGGTAGGGCAAAAATCCCATATCAGGTTCCAAGAGTCTGTGGACCCAGCTCAACCTGGAAATGGTCTAGATCTCTGAGGCGGTAGGGTCCCTGACCATCCTCTACCCCGCCATATCCCATCCAGAGATGCCAAGCATGTGTAGGAGGGATATAGGGTTCTGGGTCCCAAGTCCAGGGAAAACAGGTGAGAGCCTTCCGGTGGAGTGGATCTAGTCCAAGGGTCTGACTGCACCTGCGCACTGAGTACAGCTGGATCCCAATCAAGGTGCAGGGTGAGCTGCCAGGTGGCGCTCCAACAGTGCGCGGTGTGAGAAAACCTTGCCACAGGCAGGGCAGGGTGCACGCTCCGGCCGGTGTGTGCGCATGTGCACATTGAGCGAGCTCTTCTGCGTGAAGCGCTTGGCACACACAGCACACTGGAAGGCTCGCACGCCCGTGTGTGTGACCATATGCTTGAGCAGGTAGTCGCGCAGCGAGAAGGATCGCCAACACACTGCGCACTGATGTGGCTTCTCCCCTGCAGACGACAAAGCAAGCCACACACACATTAGTCCATCCTGCTCTCCCTGGAGCCTGTCCTTGGTAGGGACTCCTCTATTCTCCCCTCCCGAGTCAGGTCGGAAACCCTTTGCTTGTCAAGGAAACCACTCTGGGATCCCACTCTGCCAGGAAGCCCTCTCCCAAACCCACATCTTCATTCAACTATGCCACCGTCTGCCAGGAACCCTTAAAAGGGAACTAACTCTACCTGTCTGGAACAACGCCCATTGCCCATTTGGGCTACACTCAGATCTCTCCTACTTCAAGGATTTTTCATCTTCAGTTCACACCTCGGCTGGCATTCGCAGACCCTTCTCTACTCAGACCCATATTATGAGCCACTTTTATAGGAAATAAACCCACGTTCCTTCACCATAACTCTCTTCCTGCTTCCTGCAGCTCCCACCCCCGAAGCTGGTCAGTTCCCCACCAACACTTCCTTTAACCTGACCAGCCCAGGCTGAAGCTAGCTTTCTAAGGCCTTAGTAGGTCTGCTTTGGAAGGGCAGGTTCCCACTTCCCAATCAAGCGCTTTACACGGGGGAACTAAGTTAGACTTCTAAGACTAACACAAAACAAAGCACCTCAAGTGCCTGATCCCACCCAGGAACCAAATGTCCAACGATTAAGGGGTTCAGAAATCTGTGTGAGTAGAGACGGCGATTTCCTTTCCTCTCGCACTCACCAGAGTGGATGAACATGTGTTTGGTGTAGTTTTTCCGAGAACTGAAAGTCTTGCGGCAGTGACTACACTCATAGGCGGGTTGCTCAGCACCCGAGGCACCGGGGACGCGCACAGGAGGGCCTGAGATGGCTGTTGCAGGAGCAGCAGGGGCAGCAGGTACAGCCGGGGTTTCTCCTAGCTGAGCACTGGGGGCTGCATCTGGCTGGAGCGTGGGGTAGAAAGCGGGAGGGGGGGCAGGGGCTGGCCCTGATGGAGCCGGAGGTGTTGGTGCTGGCGGCCCTGGGGCACCCAAATGAAAGGGGAAGAGAGCCACGGGGGGTCCAGGGGTCTTCATGCCAGTGGGGCGAGGCCCAGCCAGGGCACAGTCAGGTGGGGCAGAGATTTCCACCGGACAACTTTCTGGACCCCCGTTGCCTTCCGCTTCATGCCAGGCGGACACGTAACTATCTGGGAACACATCCTCGGTCACCGTAGTCCCCCGAAGGAAATCTCTCCCGGTACCACCATAATCAGTGATGCCAGTGGATGCAGGCGGGTCCTCACGTGCGCTGTCAGCTGCGGTGGCGGTAAGGAAGCCCCCTGAGCAGTCGGGGAAAGCAAGGGGCGCCTGGCTCTCACCCGGGCCTACGCCGCCGCCTTCACCTTCTTCAGCGTCGGTCTCTTCATCGGTCTCTTCGTCGTCATCCTCTTCACCTCTATCTTCAGGGGCGGCAGTCAGCACCGGCTCGGTATCCGGCCCCTCAGCCTTAATAGGTGCTGGGGGTGCAGGCAGCTGCAGACGTGCAGGCTGGCGCTGTTTGCGGCTGTGCGCTGCGCTGGGGTGACCCGGGGGGCGGGCCGCCAGCAAGTGGCGCAGACGGTGGCGCAGTTGCGCGGGAGCGAGTGGAGGGGGCACGGGTGGTGGCAGAGGTGCAGGTGCGGGGGTGCTGGGGACACGGGCACGCGCAATGATTTGCGTGCACTCATCAATGACGGTTTGGATGCGAAGCACCGACGCTGCTGTGAGCACCTGCAGCGCTTCACCCTGAGCCACCACCAGGGAGCCACTGTACAGGAACTCGACCAGCTGGCGCACCGTCTGCGCAGGCACCACTGGTGGCACACGAATCTCTGAATGGCCAAGCAGCAGCTTATCCTGGAAGAAGGGCGAGCCCGCGGCCAGCACGCAGCGGTGCGCACGCAGGGAAGCTTCACGGATGCGCACAGTCACATCGCAGAAGTGACCGCCTAGCCTCTGCCCATTGAGGGTCTCCAGAAGTGAGCGCGAAAAATTCTGTAAGTGGATGTGGTGCACAGCCTCGGTCGCTGCCATCTGCGGGATGAGGAGACAATGGGGGTTGGGCTATCAGCTAAGGACTCTGTCATCCTATGTCCTGGTCCCTTTAATCCTTATCACAGAACCCAACGGTGCACCACATCCCCAGGCTGGGCCGAACTCATACATCCCTCCTCACAGTCCCTGAACCAACACATAAAACACGTCAGCACTCCTGGCCTAGTTACTCTTCAGTGCCCTCCATCCCTGCAACACCAGCATATATATCCCGTTTTCTGCCCCAAAGAGGATCTAGATTTAGCCTCCTTCTGGGAACTTATCTATCCCCAACTTTAATATCTTTAAATCACAGGATTGTCCTCCTCCCAAGGGGGCGGTCTTGTTTAAAACAAATGCCAGGGGGGCTGGAGAGATGGCTCAGTGGTTAAGAGCAATGGCTGTTCTTCCAGAGGACCCAGGTTCAATTCCTAGCACCCACAT